TGCTAACAGGAATAAAGAAACCCGGGCGTACTTTGTTTCTTTCAACTTTGGGTATCTGATCAAAAGGAAGGACAGTTCAAAGACGAAGACTGGGTTATTTATTGATAATCACGTAGGGCTGTTGAAAAGCCAAACGACGATATGCGAATCAGGAGAGAAAGTGATGGAGGAGGATAGATAGATAGATAGAGAGAGAGAGAGAGAGCAGGATAAAAGAGAAAGAGAGAAAAAGATTGAAAAGGGCAGGATTGGCACTAGGAGATGGAAGGAAGGCGAAAGTAGGCGAAAGTGGGCGAAAGAGAGCGAAAGAGGATGAGGACGAACGAACGAGAAAGGAGCAGGAAAGGCTGCCTGGGGTGCCGGGATGGAGGGGTAAGAGGGAGTGGATTAGAAGAATTTGGCCGCAAGGCAACACGGTAGATGAAACCGAAATCTTTGAAAGAGAAGAAGTTGTAATAAAGATAATGTTGCCATGAGAACATGAATATTATACTGCTGACGTCAGGCCAATAGAGCCGTCTCAGAGACCGAGAGAGCGTAAGACGCTCAGATGGGCAGCCGAAAAAAGTTGGGTTGTCAGGCTTTGACATCACACCAGAATGTGACATCTGGATCACGTTCTCCGGTCGTCATGGTCTCCAAACCGTGCGCTCCTGCTACTTTCAACGCAGAGTCAGGAGTACAGACGAGCCGATGCCTTCGAGACGGTTGGCCAAGCCTAAGTCTGTGGAGAATGATACAATTGGAGTAGGTAACCGTTGTAAAATCTAGAGGCAGAGATGATGTGACGCGTTGGTATAAGCATGGAAGTGTGGATAGATGGAGGTATGAGAATCGGCGGCTTGGGCCAAGCGAAAGGAGGTTCGGACGGTGGCGGAAATAAGCCGGCAGTACGGGTGCATATCTGGCTTTCCCTATTAATGTCCATCCATATGTGCCTCTTTGAGGGAATAGGGGTCTTGTTGGTTGTTAGTACGGCCAAGAGAAGCGAGGTCGAGCAGTCTGGTAATCCGAAAGGAAAAGACCGAGTGACAGGAAGCCGAGATGGTGGTAATTAGGATTGCCCACTCCTGCCGTATGGGCAAGGGACAGACTTCAAAGGTAGAAATTAGAGGCCATCGTGCCGTCCAAATGCCTTTCTGCCCTTTTTCGGCCTAACCAGGCCAAATAGGCGGAACTCAAACGCGGTTTTAGGGGATAGGCGGCATGCCGGCGAAGCCTGCCGGGGAGGGCGGAGCAAGTTGGGCAAATTGGGCAAGTCGGGCGAACGACAGAGTCAGCGTCTAATCGCGTCCACTAGAAATGAAGCCGGATTTTGCCCATCAGAAATCCGTGAAGTCTGCTTTCTTATTGGCCGTCTCTCGACCGAGCCAGAAGGCCAGATTGCAGGCCTGTCTGAGAGTTGCCAGAGCCCCACAGCCTTGGGCAGACGCTCCACGCCGGCGGAGCAAAGGTACAGTCTCGGAATGGTTCTGCAACGTAAACGTCGCCTTGGCCAGAGAAGTTGGCCTCGCAACAGACAGGCCAGGGCGGTTTTGGTGCCTGCCTGAGCATTCGGCCGGGTGCTACTACAGTTACTCTATTTTCCCTGCAACATTGACCAGGTTGAGGATGGCGCGTCGACTTTGTGCATATTGCAGACCTCTTCGTCTAGACAATCAATGAAAAAACCTTATTCTGTTGTACAGTCAAGGGACAGAGATACAGTGCTTGCCGGTACCTTCACCACAAAAACATAATTTTTATATCGTGTTTTGGCCTTTTTCTTGTCAACTGTCCCGTTGTATTTCAGCCAAGTTGTAGCCTAAACTTAACCTCTCATCTTTATTCCAATCCTACGTCGATTTTTCAAACTTATATTTCTTCCCTCTCTGGCTTATATATATTATTTTTCATTTGGAGACTACCGACAGAAATGATATAAGATTTGCAATCACCCTATTTCTTTTTAAGGCGATGAAGAACCGGTAATTAATTTTTCCCACAATCATATGAATATGCCTCATTTTTCCATTGAATTTTACAAAGCCTTGCTTCCCAAAAAGTATTCTCATCTAGGGTCTCATCAGCACCCCCCGAAATAAGAACTGCATTCATTCTATTTTGTTCAAGGCAATATTCTTATACCACACAGCTTTGCTTCGTCGGCAATCCCACCATAGAACTGTGTTGTGGGCTTTCTTGAACTCCTCGCATTTCCTGTGACCCAAAGCCACTCGTGGCAGTGTGGCTTGGGGGCAAACGTATGTCAGGTTCAAGTCCCGAGGTCTAAACTGCAGTCGACCCTGAGTAAGC